TTTTCCGAATTTAATTCCAAGGGCTTTCGCCCGGAATAACCTCGTTCCCAAGCACTACAACTTACCTATATTATCTCCAACATTGCCGTTGTTTCATTCATTTTGAGTCACATGGTTGTACACACTGGATAGGTGGAGTTAATGTTTATAAGCATTGCCATTGTGATGTCAATGTGCCAACCATTTTAACAGCTGATCTGACAGAAAATGTAAGCCAATCAGAATTTTAAAACTTTGCAAAAGTGAAGTGTCACTTTTCCTCGTGAAATTATGGATTTCCAGGCTACCAAATGAAGAAAAAATGTTTCTAATAAAACGTTGATAACAGCGACACAATAACTAATGAGTTTTATTTTATATCTTTATTGCAATAGACCAAATTCAAAACTCGCTCCGATGTGAGGCTTAAATTGTAAACAAAGGAATCTGGCGTGACTCAAAGTAATCTGGCATGATTCAAAAGTCACGAATCACGCCAGATTCCTCTGTTCACAACTTAAGCCTCACATCGGTGCGAGTTTTGTGTTTAGTCTATGGCTGACATGTTTTTTTCAATTCAAAAATCGATGCTCCTAGTGCTGATCAGGCTTCCTCGGGTAAATAACAGTATTCTTATATATTTTCAATGCTAGGTGAAGGCTATGTTATCCGTTGGGCGTATTATATACTGAACGATCGTATAGCAACAGATCGTAAGTCCCGATGTCGGTCTACAATAACTGGTCGCGTACGGACTGCGTACTTCTTCTGGCAGGGGAACGATTGTACAGTGAACGAGAAGGGAGCTGCCGCGGTCATGGCTGTCGAACTAGACCAAGAGAGAGGACCTCAGGTATGCTGTGTGTCGGTGCATGAATGTGTCAGTTGCGTTGCAAGAGTATGTGAGGATGGGGTGGGGCGAGTGAGCATTTTTGGCGTGAAAGTTTCCGCGAATTCTATATGAGCCATTTAGTCGTAAAAGGTTTTTCTGTTATAGAACAAAAGCGTGATATTTTAGTCTTTTTCCTTGATGAGCGAGTATTATTTTGAAGCGTTGTTCAAGGAAACCTCGGCGTGTACTCGGGGTATTATGATATAAGGAAAAAGCATAAGTTTTATTCTAATGCTCACTCTGTTAGGTAATATTTTGAAGCGTTGTTCAAGGAAACCTCGTTGGCGTGTATTCGGGGTAGCTTAAGTATACACTTATTTCAATAAAGTTAGTCACCAAAAACCTAGAAAGCTGAGATCACTGAGCATCATGGGAAACTTTTCATATCAAAAAAGCATATATATACAAAGCTTTTTTAATACAAACTGCAGCTCGATGATGCTCAGAAGAGGTGAGACTATAACCGGTAAAAGATTCGCAAGTCCATGAACAGTCATCAAGCGGTTGAACGTGTAAAATGAATCTACCCATAATCCTTATCGGCCTCAGCTTTATAGCTTTTCAGGTGACTAACTTTATTGAAATAAGTGTATAAGGAAAAAGCAAAGGTTTTATTCTAATCTTTACTCTGTTAGGTAAGAGTCGTGCAAGGCAAGGAACCACCATCTTTTTTGAACCTTTTCAAAGGATCCATGATAATACACTGGGGAAAGTAAGTATCTTACCACTTTCTATTTTTCTCTTGACCCACGATGTTAAAGAACAGGGTCTGCAAATACTTTATTCCAGTTTTCCATACTCATAACACCACGACCTCAGTC